ATGGCTCGGAACATGCAAATGGAAGCAATGAAATGACTAACTTTTCAAACTACACGCCGTCACCCATTCACAATTATTACTCATCAGCGAAAGAGCCTCATCCATGTCTAGATTATTGGCTAGTGCCTTCTCATGAGCCAAAATCATGAAATTCCTTTTTTCTGTCATGCATAATTGTGCAGAGGAACACAGGTGAGTGTGGAGAATGAACTGTCATGATGCCGAGGATGCCGCAATCACCAGAGCAGTTACATGCAGCCCAGGGAACGCTACACTATTGCAAACAGCAGACAGTTCCGCCTCTAGGGTCAATGTCTTGCGCAATGTGGGTTTTGCAATAGGAATTTCATATCAGGCGGTCAGCAAATCTTGAGTCAGCAACTAGCTGCAGAAGGTCTCAAGCTCTAAAAAGGAATTAGTTTTTTTTTTTGGAGAGACACTAGGAGGCATTTAACGCTTAGTGAACTGAGTCCAAAGTTTTGTGGTAAAATAACACGTGCATTATTTAACAAAAAAAGCATTTCATTCACAGAAATACATTCAGTAATTCACAAATGTGACCATTTAGAAACACAGTTTTATATCTCATATTACTAGTTCATTTTTTTTTTGTCACTTCCTGGGGGGAGGTACATGGTACATGGATGCAGTGAATAGTACCCATAACATTAAGAAAACCTGCCAAGGAACAAAAAATGCCTTTTATTTGGTCCCATTTTGGCCACTTGGGCATTTTCGCCGAGAACTGCGGCTCGCTGGATATTTTCTGTTTTTCAGACCATTCACAGTAAATCTTAAAAGGAGAACTATGGGGTCAGTGTTTTTCCCCATAGTTCTCCTTGGGGTAACGGGAGGACACAAACTAGCGTCCTCCCGTCACCCTAAGCTCAGTATACCGCGAGCTACAGCTCGCGGTATACTGAGACGCCGCACCTGGAGCGGATCCCGACTTAGATGACGGGATCCGCCCAGCTGCGTAAGTGACAGCTGGCTCTGCCTATCTAGAGGCAGAGCCAGCTGTACCCGTCCCCTCCCCCGTCCGTTCCGCCAGTCAGCGCTGGCAGATCGGAGCGGGGAGAGGGGAATCCAGCCCCTCCCCCTGTCACGGCAGAGAGCCGTGACAGGATCGAGAGGTGAGGGAACCCGGTATGTGTTCTCTCACCTCCCGATCTACTGAGCTGACCTGTGACAGTCTCATTGTCACAGGTCGGCTTAGAACTATGAGGTGAGTGGAAATCACTCGTGTCATAGTTCTCCTTTAAGGTGCCCATACACTGCACGATTATCGTACGATAATCGTATGCGATCGGTTTTTCGTACGATAATCGCGCAGTGTCTGAGTAGCGTGCAACTGCGGATACAGTACAATCGTACGACGTTTGACTACCTAGCATGTTCGAAAACCTGTGCGTAATCATACGATAATCGTTCAATGAGTAATCGTTCGTCAATGGTCGCACTGTTTGTTCAGCGCATGCGTTAAGCGATCGAGCAATCGGAAGAATGACGGCAGCTGGCTGTACTCGCAGCATCCACACCTCTGTTCTGGTACCCACATGCACCACTTGCTCAGCCATTGCTGGGGCTACATGTTGCGTACAGATGCAAGAACCAATGCTCACACCAAAATCATATCTCCTCATATAGCTGACACACATGCTGACCACTCCCCATGTGCACCACACATGAGGCTGCTGAAAGTGACCCCCTAATAATTGCAATGAACCACATGCAACGCAAACCATGCAACATGAATAACATGTCCATTCTCCTTTTGGAGACAATTTGATAAGTGATTACTTCTGTCGGTCGATCGAAATCGTACGATTATTAGTGCGGTCGTACGATTATCGGATCGACCTCTATCGAGACAAGTTGGGTGCGTCGCACGATGATCGTACGATATTCCGATCGTCGAGGGGTTTTATTCGTACGATAATCGTGCAGTGTATGGGCACCTTTAGAGATGGTTGTGCGTGAAAATCCCAGTTTCTGAAATACTCAGACTAGCCCGCTCAGCACCAACAACCATGCCATGTTCAAAGTCCCTTAAATTATTATTATTATACAGGATTTATATAGCGCCAATAGTTTGCACAGCGCTTTACAATATAAGGAAGACATTACAGTCACAATACAATTTAAGACAAGATGGTAAGGAGGGCCCTGCCCGTGAGGGCTTACAATCTAAAAGGGAGGGGCAAGTGATACATGAGGAGGTAGCTGCGTGGGGATGATTGTTTGAGAAAGTGATTGTTCAGTGGTTAGGGTGAGGTGGGATAGGCTTCCCTGAAGAGATGAGTCTTAAGGGATCGCCTAAAGGCAGTCAGTAGGGGGGTGCAGACGCTGAGCGGTTGGTTAGGTGGATGAGTCTAGCAGCTGCATTCATCATAGCCTTTGTAGAGGTAGGCCTATGATAAGGGAGTTGCAATAGTCAAGACGAGAGATAACAAGAGAGTGGATGAGTAATTTGGCGGTTTCTTTGGTGAGGAAGGGTAAATCCCCTTTCTTTCCCATTCTGATGCTGTTTAAACGTCAGCAGATAGTCTTGACAATGTCTATATGCCTAAATGTTTTGAGTTACTGCCACGTGATTGGCTGATTAGATGTTTGCATTAACGAGGAGTTGAACAGATGTGCCTATAAAAGTGGCTGGTGAGTGTAGTTGTATTTAGGAGGGATTACGCAAAACCAGCCTATTACATCAGTAAGAACTCGTGAGAATGAGGATTGTGAAAATGCCACAACCTCACATGACTACACTGCGTGCTGGGCTCCAGAATAAGATGTAACTCATCATGAAGTTGCAGAATTAGGTCCCTTGTTGACTGGAACGTTTTAAGGCACTCCACAAGGAATGACTGTTTCAGCAATGGTTTCTAGAATACTTCCATTTCCTCAGATTGTGCTAATACTGACAGCCACAGCCATGTGCCAATTACTGCTTACTTTATGAATTGGCTTTGTTACATCCCATTTTTCATAAGATTTTTAGTTTTTTTTTTAGCGTTTGTGGTATTTACTGCATTAGCCATTGTTTTTTTCTTTTAATGAACTCACCCTTTTCTTATAGCATGGGATATTTTACTGAGAAAGGTCACATGACAATATGACCGCATGCGATAACATTTAGTGAATTGAGCCTAGTGTGTTTTGGAGGAATCGGTCTCAGTCCGACAATAGAATAGAGAGAACGCCATCTGTGAGCTGCCTGGTCGTTGGTGTCTTTGTTGCAGGTGGATTATGTGTTTGTTGAAACAAAGTAGATAAACTATTTCCTCGCATATCTTTCAGTGACTGCACACAGGCAGTAATATCCTCCCCAGCACTGCAGAGTTCTACAGGTGAGCTTGCAGAACAGCATTAGTAGGCTTCAAGAATCTAGGCAGGAAATGCGCCTATTTTCAAAAACTTGTTTGCTTAGCTGTAGTAATAGTCCTGATGCTCCTGTACATGTATCTATCCGAACATTATTCTCTGAAATCTTAGAAGATCCAAGACAGCATGCTGATTTTCAAAACACACCCCTGGCCACATCTTGGTGACTGGTCCACCATATACCCAGTAATCCTTTCACAGATGACTGTAGTGCCGTGTAATGTATTGACGATGAAAGAATGAGTGGAGTAACCCTGATAACACAAAGGTTGGATACATGGCTGAGCTGGCATAGCACGCAAAACTGCCAGAAGAAGCCGATTGGTTGACATATTTCATACATACACGGTTACAATAATCATTCTGTAGCAATGCCTGCACCCCACCTCTTATTCTTATTATGAGGTTAGTACTGTTGGTCCAATCTGAGAGATGTTTCAGCATCTGTGTTGTGATGTACTCAGCATCCAACTGACTTAGGTCCAGCAAACCAACAAGGTGTTCCTCAGGATCAGAATAATTAATGATAGATTCCCTGTGTTGCACGTGTCCCATCGCTCTTTAAACAGAACCTTGCGGTGTCAGCATTGCCATGCCTATTTATGATGCAATACAACACAAGACTCCCCAATTTCAATGATGTCATTTTGCACAAGGGATGTCTATGTTGCATTATGCAGTATGCCATTCACTATGTCTCTTAGTGTGATCTCTTCAGTAATGTGATTTAGGAAATGTGCAGCAGACATATTCTTTCCTTGATTCTGGGCTCCAGGAACTGGTCCTCACAGTTAGGCCCCGATTCCTGGTGGGGCTCTACAGCTACCGATAGCTCTATCGCTCCCCGTAACTCTGTTATGGCTCTCCAGTTGTCTCTCCCGCAGGCAAAGTGATAATGTGACACAAACTGTTGCAGTGTGAGAGACAGTGACAGAGATGCAAGGAACCCAACCAGCAGTCCATTAGTATACACTGTTTTGTTAAGTGAACAGAACTTAATTCAGCACACTTTCTGCTGAGCAGAATCTGCTCTATGAGTCCAACCTGGAATCACTTTTGGGTAGTGCAACGAAGAGCCATGCCAGAGTGAACAGGGAATGGCCAGTTCCCTTCCCTGTGTCTCTGTGGCTGACAGCACCCCCCTAAATCTGAACCGGCTGCGATTGTTTGCTTTAAACCTTATGCTGCTTGAAAAGGAACCTCTCAAGGTGCTTTATATAAGCTGCCTTTGCTGACCTCTCCTGATAGGGTTAGACCCCCCACCTGTCTATATTGCTTCCTAACCTACTGACTCAGAATATGTTTAGATATAAGAAATTCTATTTATTTTTTTACAGCATGCATGTTACAGGTTTGAATTAAGATCATGGGAGCCAGACAGATGGGCAACTAGTATTTTCAGGAATGACAGCCCCCATACTTCTCATCATGACACGGGTACTGTAGGGGGATAATAAATAAAAAAAATACGATAAGCCAAACTTTATTTAGAACATCATTCTAACAATTCAGAATTTACAAAAAGTCATACAAAGAATGATTAGGAGAACATAGAGAACAGTGTTTATACTTTTGGATCAACTGAGGTTTCCAACAAGAACAGTACTGCCACGGGCAGTTCCTTTTTATTTTTTTAAACCAGGACCTAAACGGCAGTGTCCTAACATTTCATTACAAACTCAGAAGGTATAGTGCAGATTTAAACTTTGAAATTCAGTGGATTTTGCTTTTTTGTTTCATCCAGAATGAGATCCATTACTTTCTGCAACAAAAAACAAATTACACATTAAACACTTTTAAATAAACTGAGCAAACAGATGTTATTGTTCCATGTAGCAGGGGGTCTGTCATCACAAATGTCATTTATGTTCCTATCCATTTGGTTGCCTTGCTTTAGGGGGCTCTTTAAAGAAAAAAAACTAACTTTTTAGGGTGCTCGTTCTATCACTGATCTCAGGAAGGATTTGATACCATAGATAATCCTGGCACAGTGATCAACCCTAGTGTTAAGCAGTCTGATCGGACATGGTATAGATTCATCCTCTATGAGCTTGTCTACATATACTGTATATGTAAAGTTGCCCCAATATACTGCTCCTACTCAGTGATCCAGGGAGCTGCAGGCCAGAACAAGTAGCTTTACCAAACTGTACCTGAGTCTGCTGCAGAATCTAATTGATAGGCTTGTAATCATATGGGCAAATCTTATAGCTTATAAAGGTAGGTACTCATGTGGTGTTTTATAAAGCTGCTTACTCCTGGATCCCTCTGATAAATTCTCTAAGATACTTTAACTGCATTCATTATGTTTATCTTCTAAGTATCTGCTAAAAATGTTCAGCTCACAAACAAATATCGCCTAAACAAGGAACCTTCTTTTTTTTTTTTCCACTAAAAATAGGCATTTACCTGTTGAAAGTCTTAAACTCTCATACATATATTTCCTACAGGGTGTGTTCAGTACAATAGGCTCTTTTTCATGCTCTTAGAAACATAACTGTTTTTTCCAAACCTTTCTGGGGTTTTTTTAGCATTATTTTAGGGAGTCGTAATCCTTATAAATTTACCTGTAAAAACCACTTTGTACATATACAAGCCTGAGTCTAAGATCTCCAGGGACATGCAAGTAAAGTCAGATTTGCTCACCTTTGTGCAAATCATTTGAAGGGGGGGGAAAAAAAAAACAAGAAAACAAACCACTATGCGGTTTTGAAACGAGAAGTGAAAATAGACTCCACTTCAATCTGTCACATGGAGTGCTGACAATCTCAGATTTATTCTCGACTTTGGTCAGCACCACACAGTTGCTCCATCAGAACATACAAATACTGTGTGAAATAGTATGCACACATATGTTACTCACAACTGGTGGGTACTACTTATGTTTCTCCCAAGAGAATGTTTTTTTTAACACAAAGATATCCGAATAAAAAGATTCTAAATTGCTGTATACTTGAACTGTATCCATCAAAGGATAAATGTTTGTCACATAAAAAGTTTGTTTTTGGAAACAGGACACACATTGGGACAAAATCTGGAGCACTGTGCATGGCAACCAATCAGCTTCTATCTCTCATTTTCAAATCCCAACTGAGCAAACTGAAGAGTGATGCTGATTGGTTGCCATTGGCAACTGCTCCAGATTCTGTCTGCTCCAGTTTGATAAATCCCCCCCCATTGTATCTTACGCGTTGGATATGCATTTGTAGTTTTGTTTAGATAGAATGAAGGATCTTTTAAATCTGCTGTATATTTAATGAATAGGAGTACCCACACATCTCGAAAGACCAGATGATGCACAAGTCACAAAAAGAAAAAACCCACAAGACCAGATGCCTTAAAAGAGAACTATGGGGTCAGTGTTTTTCCCCATAGTTCTCCTTAGGGTAATGGGAGGACACAAACTAGCGTCCTCCCGTCACCCTAAGCTCAGTATACTGTGCTTAGGGTAGCTCGCGGTATACTGAGACGCCGCAGCGGATCCCGACTTAGATGACGGGATCCGCCCAGCTGCGTGAGTGACAGCTGGCTCTGCCTATCTAGAGGCAGAGCCAGCTGTACCCGCCCCCTCCCCCGTCCGTTCCGCCAGTCAGCGCTGGCAGATCGGAGCGGGGAGGAGGGAATCCAACCCTTCCCGTCACGGCAGAGAGCCGTGACAGATCGAGAGGTGAGCGAACCCGGTATGTGTTCGCTCACCTCCCGATCTACTGAGCCGACCTGTGACAGTCTCATTGTCACAGGTCGGCTAGAACTATGAGGTGAGTGAAAAGCATTCACCTCATAGTTCTCCTTTAATTGTCGCATCATGTGTAGCATTGCAGTTTGAACATTATCAGAAGAAACTGGTTGGTCCACATATAGCCCAATTTCATTACACCACCAATACATGTCACAGTGGAAATGACTGAGTGTAAGGAACCAGCCAGGTATGGAAATATTATAACGTGAACAGTCGGGAACTTACCTGGCTCTTTCAGTAACAAAGCATCTCCTGCCAGCTCATCAACACCATTTCCTTGTCCATTCAAAATTTCATTGCAGAGATTATTGTTTAGCTGCTCATTTTCCATTTCAGCCATCAGTTCTGCCTGTGGAATGATAATAAACATTAGTGTTTGAACCTGAAAGAACATACATTTAACCCCTTCGTGACGGGAGACGTACAGTGTACGTCCCGTCACAAAGTGGCTATATGACTGGCCACGTACACTGTACGTGCCGAGTTATATTAGCCTCTGTAATGCTGGTAACTGCTGATTCTCAGCAGTTCCAGTCATTAATTAATGCCTCACTATTGAGACATTCATTAATGAAATAGTTAAGCTTTTTTAAAAGCTTCTTTCTTTCATTAATGAAAGAATGAAGCCTTTACATTCAGATACGGGTTCGCTAAATAGCGATCCCGTATCTGACAGCTGAAGATAGCAGAGAGGTAGCAGTGACTCACCTCTCTGCTATTTGTTTTGACAGCTGGAGAGCCTGATGTTAAATGATACATTTCAACCACTAGATACAAAATGTATCTCGAGTGAAATGTATCACTTCTGTATCACTTCTGAAGTTTTAAAAACTGACTGAATACCTTAGGCAAAGCAAGTTTAAGAGGCAGATCTTCAACTTTCACAAAGTCATCTTCATCAGACTTCTGACTCAAGTTTCCAGAGCCAGTTTCCTATTTCCAACCAGAAACACATATTAGAGACATGCTTAGAGCATATTGCTTATAACAGCACTAAAGAGCATTCATTGTGTGCATCTTGAATTAAAAAGGTGTTAATTCATTAGGTGGATCTATCGTAAGGCAAACTTCTTACTCTGCCCCCAAGACCTTGCTGGCCTCTTGTCAGTTTTGACTTTACTACCGAAACATATTTACAGTGAAGTCAGACTAAATCCTCCATGTCATCAGGGCACATGCACTGCAATATCCTGACTGTACAAAGGATGGCGAAATGACTTCACTGCTTTCAACAATTCATTGCTACAACACAGCCAAACATTCACAGAGCGCCATTTATAGCACCAAACCCAAAGGCTGCTGGAGCATTCTGACCATACAGATTCCCATAACAAATAGGGATGTGACCTTTTCTGTACTCGTACATGGAGAATACCTCTGGATGTTCCAGCAGGAATAATCAGACTTCCAAGGAATATTTATCAAATTAAACATGCATGTTTATGTACTTCCAATAGTGCATATCATACGAGATCTTCAGTAATTTCTGAGACACTGACTTGAAGCAATGATCACCCAATCTTCCAACTTATCTGATCGACGTTCCACTAGACAATATTTATCTGCTGTGATTGTTTTGTCTATACACAGTCACATTAACACACGAGCCAGAACTCCTGGGATCATGGAAATAATAGGATTTTTGTACTCACCGTAAAATCCTTTTCTCTCCGTTCATTGAAGAACACAGGCAACAGATCGTAGATCCTGAATGGTAGGGTAATATCGCCACCTGCAGGAGAAGGACGCTAGGCACAAAACTAAAGACCAATTACAGCCTAGGGGCGGCCCCTGCCGGTGGCCAAACCCCCCACCTGCTGACAAGTCTCCAGTTTAGTAACAAGCAGTTAGGAGTGTACACCCCATAAAGAGGGCGGGGCCTGTGTCCTTCAATGAACGGAGAGAAAAGGATTTTATGGTGAGTACAAAAAATCCTATTTTCTCTCCCGTTCATTGAAGGACACAGGCAACAGATCGGAGATCCTGAATGGTAGGGACGTCACCAAGCCGTAACACACTGAGGGATGGGCAACAACAAACAAAACACCCAAAAGACCCCTCAAAGTGCCGCCTGCAACACTTTGCGCCCCAAACCAGCATCCGCCAATGCTAAAACGTCCACTTTGTAGAACTTAACAAAAGTTGTGAACAGAAGACCAAGAGTGGCCTTACAAAACCTGAGAAACAGAGGCCCCGTGGCGGAAAGCCCAGGAAGCCCCAACAGCCCTAGTAGAATGGACAGTGACAAAAAATGGAGGCTCACGCCCCTTAACGGCGTACGCCTGAGTCACAACAGTACGCATCCACCTAGAGATGGCAGCCGCCGACGCGGCCCGAACCTTACGAGGACCATCCGTGAACAAGAACAGGGAGTCGGTCCCGCGGAAAGAAGCCGTAGCTTCCAAATAAACACGAAGAGCGCGAACCACATCCAAACAGTGGAGCGCACGCTCCTTCTATGGACCGGCTGCGGACACAGGGAAGGTAAGACAATGTCCTCATTCAGATGGAATGCCGACACAACCTTTGGCAGGCACGCCGGCCGAGGACGGAGAACCACCTCGTCCCGATGCAAAACCAGCAACGGGGACTTGCAGGACAAAGCAGCCAACTCTGACACCCGCCGAACGGAAGTGATGGCCACCAGAAAGGCCACCTTCTGTGGCAAAGATAGAAGCGGAATCCCCCAAAGAGGTTCAAACGGGGATTCCTGCAACACCGAAAGCACGAGATTCAGATCCCACGGAGCCAAAGGCGAGCGGACAGGGGGAGCAATGCGTGTCACCCCCCTGAACAAAGGTGCGAACCAGAGCATTAGACGCCAAAGGCCGCTGGAAAAGCACCGCCAAGGCAGAGATTCGACCCTTCACAGTACTCAAGGCCAGCCCCTGAGCCACCCCGCGCTGCAGGAAGGCAAGGAGCCTGCTGATGGAGAACAAAAGTGGGGACAGGGCCCCAGCCTCACACCAGGCAAAATAGGCCCTCCACGTGCGACGGTAAACTTTTCTAGAAACCGCTTTGCGCGCTCTGAGCATAGTGGAAAAGACCGCATCGGACAACCCCCGGTCCTTCAGGACCTGGCTCTCAACAGCCAAGCCGTCAAAGCCAGCGACTGTAAGAAGGATGGAACACAGGACCCTGGAACAGAAGATCGGGGCGCAGAGGCAGACGCCACGGGGCGTCCACCACCAGCTGAACCACGCCCTCCGAGGCCAATCCGGGGCCACGAGGACGACAGTGATGCCCTCGACCGCGATCCGACGCAGCAGCCGAGGCAACAGATACAGTGGAGGAAAGGCGTAAATTAGATCGTAATGACCCCAAGGGGCCACCAGGGCATCCACAGCCTCCGCCCAGGGATCCAGGGCCCGGGCCACAAACCTGTCCACATTGCGGTTGAACCGAGACGCCAGAAGATCCACCTCCGGCGTCCCCCAGCGACGACAGAGCTGCTGAAAAACCTCCGGGTGCAGAGACCACTCCCCCGGATCCACCAATTGTCCACAGAGGTAATCGGCTGCCAATTGTCCACTCCCGGGATGTAGACCGCCGAGAGAGCCAGAACACGATGTTCTGCCCAGGACAGAATCCCGAACACCTCTCGACCCGCGGCCACGCTTTATGTGCCGCCCTGGTGGTTGATGTACGCCACCGCAGTGGCGTTGTCTGACTGGACCCGGACCGCCAGACCCTGGAGCCGGGCCGACCAATGAAGGAGAGAAAGGCGAATCTCCGGAAGTTCCAACATTTATCGACAGACGGGCCTCCTCCGGCGGCCAACGACCCTGCACGGTCAAGGAGCCCAAGAACCCTGCCCCAGCGGCTGGCGTCCGTGGTGACCACCGGCCAATGCACTGGAAGAAAAGACTTCCCCCGCACCAAGACCGGAGATTGAAGCCACCACCGCAGGGAGGCCCTCGCCTCCCGAGAGATCCGAATCTCCCTGTCCAAGGCCACCATGAGACCGAGGACCTGCATGCAAACTCGAATGGGCGACCACTGGCGAGTCTTCAGTAGCCGGACCTTGGAACGGAGCGCCAGGAGCTTGTCCCGAGGACGAAAGACCCGGGCCGCGACAGTGTCCAGAACCAAACCCAGATACTCCAGACGTGGTGAAGGCACTAGACAAGATTTTTGCAGATTCAGAAGCCACCCGAACTCCTCCAAGGACCGCACCGTGACCCCCAGAGCTGTCACCATGGAAGAATGCGACTCTGCCCGTAGGAGCAGATCGTCCAGGTACTCCACGATCGAAACCCCCCGACAACGCAACAGCGCCAGAATCGGGGCTAGCACCTTGGTGAACACACGCGGGGCCGACGCCAGCCCAAAGGGCAGCGCCACAAACTGAAAGTGGTCCTCCCCCACCGCGAAACAAAGATATCGCTGATGAGACTCGCAAATGGGTACATGAAGGTATGCATCCCAGATATCGATGGAGGCCAGCAGATCCCCTTGACGGAGCCATGCCACCACGGACCGGATGGACTCCATCCGGAAACGAGGGACCCGCACGAAGGTGTTCAAGCGTTTGAGGTCCAGGATGGGCCGCACCCCCTCTTTCTTGGGCACTGTAAACAGGTTCGAATAAAAACCTTGGAATCTTTCCGCGGAGGGAACAGGCACAATCAGCCCCTGGGACCAAAGGTTCGCCGTGCGATGGAGATCCGCCAACCGCAAAGGGGATAGCCGCGTGTTGGACGGGAAGAAATGGTTGACGGGACAGAAAACTCGATCTTGTAGCCCGAAGAAACCAACTCCCGGACCCAAGAGTCGGAGACGTGGGCCAGCCAAAAATCCGCAAAGAGCCGAAGACGGCCCCCCCACCCCGGGACCCGGAGCCCGACCTTCATGCGGATTGGGGCTTGCCGGCAGGCTTGGGCTGCCACGGACGCTTGGAAGATTGGGAAGAGGAGGGTTTGTTAAAGACTTACCGCCCCTGTCGGAGGGCGGCCGAAAAAGCCGCTTGTGAGCGGAGAAAGTAGGCCCAGGCTTCCGGCGCTGTTACTTCTTGCGCGCCTGGGGAAGGAAGGTACTCTTACCCCCGTCAGATCCCTAATGATCTCATCCAAGGTGGAACCAAAACAGACGGTCCCCAGTAAAGGGCAACTCTCTAAGAGCCTTCTTGGAAGCCTGGTCCGCCGACCAACACTTAAGCCAGAGCAAGTGGCGAAGCGACACCGCTGACACCGACACCCTGGACACCAAGGGTGCCGCATCCAAGGCCGAATTACAGACATAACTAAGGCCCTGAACCAACTGGTCCGCCAATTCCACAAAGGCGGGGGAGACGTTCTCCTCCGCAAGACCCTGATGTAACATTTTAGCCCACTCAGTTAGAGTCTGAGAGACCAAGGCCGAAGCCAAGACCGGACGCATGAGAGCGCCTGAGACAGAGTACAGGGACCGCAAAAGCGCCTCAGCCTTCCTATCAGAAGGATCCTTAAAGGACGGAGAATCCTCCACCGGAATAACCGTGGCCTTGTTCAAACGAGAGACCGGCAGGTCCACCACCGGTGGGGAAGACCACTTAGACACAAAGTCCTCCTCGAAGGGGTAGCGAACCGAGAACCGCTTCGGAACCGCCGCAAGGGACTTGGAAGGCCGTTTCCACTCCTTATAAATGAATTCATCAAAAAAAGGAGATGTAAGGAAACACCTTGGCGGAACGCCTGCTCTTGTGCGTCCCAAACTGCACGTGCGGCAGCGAGGAAGTGCTGGCAACATCCTCAATTTTAAGGGTCATCCCAAGGCAGGGGACGGCAAAAGCAGGGCCCGCTTCCTAGGTGGGCGCTGCGTCAAGGCGCGCTCCATGCGCGTCACAAACCCATAAATTGACAGAAGAAAACGATTCCAGGGACAATGCGGTACCACCCACCCCCCTGAAGCCCCAGAGGGGCGCACGGGCGACAGCCAAAACAGCGCAGGCATTCAGGCCGCACAAAGAGGGTATCTAGAGGGGTCCGCAGAGCGCAGCCCACAACCCTCACAAGATTGTTTCCAAAATAGCCTAACAGCAAGTTTTAACATAAACTTTGTGCTGCTGTCAACAATTCAAGATGCCACCAAATCTTAAATAAATATATATATATAGAAAATATACTGATCATATGAACAATTACACATTGGCAACAATAAAATCAACTTACAAATTCATTAACTAGCACAGGGGAGTCAGTGGCAGGACTGCCAGGTCCAGAGCTCTCTGCTGACGCCTGTGATGACTTCGCATCCCTGTCCACTGATGCCGACATGTCACCTCCTTGTAAGTGCAATGAAGCCAAAGTATTGTCAGCTGAAATATCAAGTGGATTCTGGTTCTCCTCTACCTTATGTATGTCTTCTAAAGTAAAACACAAAAAGTATTTTATGAAATAAAAAAGATGATATGGGCTGGTATACTATAGAGATTATGATCAGATAGAATGGTACAAGGCATCAGTATTTAAGAGTCTGTCTGCTGGAGATAAATGCAGACAGAATCCACTAATTCTGACAGCACCGATGAGCTTTTCATGTTTTGTCTGCCATGATTTGATGCAACGTTTCAATGCTTTGTGTCCACCTCTTGTAATGTGTCATGTTGATTGAGAGCATAGTACAAAGTATCACAGGTATTAAGTCTTAGACTGCAGATTAGCCTTGCTGTTAGTGCAAGAACAATGGGAAACCTAATGGAGGTAACCAATACTCAAATAAAAAGTATATTCTGCTTTTAAATAGGCACCGGTAGTTTTAAACACTGCCTGGCAGTGTATTTATTGTGACTGTTGTTACCATCTGAATTTAAGAGAGTGTTCAGAACAACTGTTTAGTGTCTACAAATATTCTCCCCATGAACACTTTTCTGGGTGTGCATCCTCACCAAAGCAGCATCTGCTATCCAGACTTTCAGGATAGGAGAGTCTGAAGTCTTATGTATTGTTCTGTGGGCCTATCCTCGCTGTCCCTTCTCAGAGCCTGCTATTTCCACATTGACTTGCTCAGTGGTGAGCACCTCCTCCTCTTACGGATTAGCTGATGCAGAGCATTTCTCATAACTTCCTCATTGTGGATAGGCCAAATCTCAGCATTCCTCCTACCCTCATCATTGCGGATTGGCTGAATGTGCTGAATGCAAGTGCAATTATACCCCCCTTCCCAAGCCCCATCCCTTCCCCAGCTCTGCCTTCTTCACTAGGTCTCCCGCCACTACACAGAAGCAGACATCTTTCCTTGAAAATACATACACAAAAGGCAAAGAAAGGGAAGAAGCATCTGTGCAACACTGCAATGCTCTCGTTTTAACATCCAACAAAAATAAAAAGGATTACAGAAACTTTTGTAATGGTTAGTTAATTTTGTATAATGTTAAAAAGTACCTAAATATGTGCAGTCTTCTTATCTCAAGCATAAGATATATATGTAGCACCATCAGGATGATCAGAATATGGACCTTACCTGCTTCTTTTATGCAGTGTTCTGCCAAGTTTTCACTCTCTGCTTCATTAATAGGATTTCTCAAAACCTACAAAATGTTAAATAAAATCAGTTACCTGGATACAGAACACAATGCAAGGCACTGCACAGTAACATGACCAGAATTTACAATATACACACCTGTTCCTTTGCATTTTCATCAGTGGTTTCAGCATTGGCTTCCAGGGATGTCTCTACATCCACAGGACGAGCTTCAAACTCATAATTCTCCTCCTCCTCCTCATTCTCATCTTCTCCACTTCCATAGTTAGTCAATGCCTGTGTTTCTGATTTGGATAGACCTGTCACCATAAAGAAACACAAACATTGATATGCTTGTTAACACTAGAAGCTGTAGAAAATCAGATAGAGCGTGCATAATTTCTGGGCTGGAGGACATTCAGCATCATCTAGCTCTTTCCCCCAATCTTACTGTCCTTGCTATATGGACACATTTTCTGGCAGCATCTGTAATAAAAAAAAAAAAGGGAATCTGTCTTTCTGAAAGAAGTTGTGGCTGAAAGATACCCGTACAGCCCAAATTACGGCCAAAGAATGGTGGGAAATTTCCATCTGGTGAACTAGAGCCAGACAGAAGGACGCAAGAACAATGTTCTGATTGAAGTCTAAAGGCTGAAAAAGTCTCCTGCACCAACAAGCTGCCCAGGACTCTTCTCTGGCCTGGCTGGCTGGTGTCCATCAAGAGAATCTTCTAAAAAGACAAATAGTAAAGACTCCCCTGACTCCAGAACTGGATTCCTGAGCCATCAAACCAACTTGGTCTGAATCGTTCTGTCTGGAGACCAGACCGACATGTCCCACAAATAAATAATGCAGTGCTGGAAAACTGACGGTGAAAGACTACCATCATGCCCAGGACTCTCATGCAAAAGCAGAGAGTCAGAAACATCTGGATAGAGACGCATTCAACAGAGCCCTTGTCAACTGTTCCCTCAACACAAGATCATGCAAGTATCCCACAATGGGGGTCCCAGGAAAGTGCATAAGAGCGAATACTGGAGCCAGCACCTTGGTAAACACCAGTGGTGCAGAAGAGAGGCTGAAGGGCAGGGCCACTAACTGGTATAGGTGCCCCACAGAGAAGCATAGGAATCACGGATGTGCTGGATAGATGGTAACATATAGGAAAGCATCCTTGATTTCCACAGAAGCAAGACTGGGTAAGGCTTCAGAGACAAGGAAGGCACTGATGCAATGCAAGTGGCTCTGGACTTGGAAAGCGCTTCACAGCTAACTTTTACTAGAACGGAGATCCGGAAAGCTCCCCGCACATAACCTAGTGTCCAAAGAGACACATGGAACTTTCAGTCTATCCCCAAATGCCCAGTGGTCTGGATGTGGTACTCCAAAAGCGAGGCTGAGGACAACCTTAATGGATAGCTGCATTCAGGGACAAAACTGCAGCAGAAATAGAGAAGAGTCTTGACTGAAGAATAAAAAATTGCTAGCAAAAAATGAGGTTAATCTTTAACCCAGCAGAGCTGAAGAAAAGATGTTCATTCGCATAGGACAAAACAAAAAAGTGAGGTATGCTGGAAGCAGTAGGGGTTATTCTGGGCTGGTCTACAGTTTTTATTTGCTGGTGTTTAATCTCTTTTGTAGGCAGTAGTTCCTCAATGGATGAGATAGAAATGTAGTTTTGCAGACCCATTTGTTTACCATCACCTGCATCCTTCATTCTTTTGTTTCCCAAAACACGACAAGGGAGAGACGATAGCCATGTGTACTTGGCCTTATAGAAGTAATGTAGGGAGATATGTAGCTTAGAGAGCAGCCTGTCTAGCATTCACAATCCATTTGACCTCAGTGAATGGCATCTACAGTGTTTCAATAACCTTTAGAGCATTGGTTCTCAACTGGTGGGTCACGACCCCATTTTCAGTGGGTCGCCACATGCCTTCCACTTTTCTAGGTGAGAGGCTCCTCAGCCTCCCCCTAGCACAGCACCGTCAGTTCTCTCACCAAGCAGCCATTCAAAATATACTGCCCAGCGCCAAGCGTCAGCTTGAGGTGGGATGGGGCTATGGCCGTGAGGGAGCTCCATCCATCCATACATGCGTTGCTTACACTTTTTGGTGTGTGTGGGAGAATGTGTCTGTCGTTGTGCATGTAGGTCAGTGTTTTTGAGGGCCCATTTACACTAGTACAGTGCATGCATTAGCAGCACGGATAATTTGGGGTGCCATTAAAAATGAAGGACACTGCAACACACCAATACACACACACATACATACATATATATATATATATATATATCTATTGTGAGCAGGATCCTAAAGGTTGGTTCTTGTGTCTTTAGAAGGTTATGTCAATGGAGCGGAGAGTTGGAGGTCAGCAAAGACTTACTACGGAAGGAACAACAATTATGGCAGGCTTTCTAACTAGCCCAAATACTCAGTCCGGCCGCCGCCCCCCCCGCCCAACCAACAGCTACCGGCCGACAAGTCTGGGGCATTCTATAAATGTGATTCAAGGTGCTATAGTTGACAATAGATCAAACATGTCTGCTGTGACCTTACTAGAGAGATGTGTGATTTTTACACCTGCTTGCATGTTAATATAAGGGAATGAATGCTACAAATCACTGCACTTGTTTTCTTACAAAAATGGGAAGCTAAAGAGTGATACTGCCTACAATGATTGTTTACACAATGCTTATAAAGATCTGGAGTTGAAAGTTTTAATAATTTTAAAAACAATTTACAAACTAACCGTGCTCGGTAAAGTGCTATTGAAAATCCATAAAGGACTATGCACTGAACAAGAGACATGAGCAACAGGTGCTTCTGATTTAGAAGACGGCAAAGAAATTGAGTATAAACAACAAAAAGCCAATAAAACATTAAAATTCATACTGATGGACACAGGAATGTTCTCATTTCCATCCTCTTCCTCTGAAATGTCAGATCTCCCACTGCGAGCTTCAGACACATCAATACGTTTGTTTTGTGATTTTGCGGAGGTCTCGGTTTCATCCTTGTCCTAGGAACAGGATAATGGTAAAATAAACAAAAAATAGGATTTTGGTACTCACCGTAAAATCCTTTTCTCTCCGTTCATTGAAGGACACAGGGAACAGATCGGAGATCATGTAAATCCTTCTTTGGCACCGTAAACAGGTTTAAGTAAAATCCTCTGAACCTCTCCGAGGAGGGAACCGGAATCAATCCCTGTGTCCTTCAATGAACGGGAGAGAAATAAGGCAATTAAATCAGAGCCACTAAATAGTGGCATGTTTACATGTACTGCATAACCAGGCATGACATCCCATTATCTTAGCCGTCTTTTGTCATTGTCCATATAAACACGGTGTCCCATTCAATCTATTTACTACTACTACTACCGGTATGCTTGAGAATCTATTGTACACAATACTGCTCTAAATTGATCCACATTCCTCAGTAAGTCTTCAAACATCTGCAGAACTCCTTCAAACACCACAGGAGTATCCTAATAATGTATTCCAGGAGCATAGTTTTTATGATCTTCTCTAGCCACCAAAACAATTTTAGTTTTGTAACTCATTGTAAGGGCCACTTATATCCAAGTTGTATTTTCAAAGAGCCCTAATGCTGTGACTACTCCAATTTATAGCAATACCAGGCACTACAGTGACTATTCCCTGGATAGTGCCACATGACCAACTCGGCTACAGGGGCTCACTGTGACGTCAAAAAAAAAAAACCCACAAAGTCACCTAGATGGATCCTCTCTATATATACATGTTATTCAGAGCTAGCCACAGTATAGCAGATATCAGCTTTCTGAGAATTTTCTTACACTCCTAACTTGCTGGCTGCAAGTAGTCAATGTTGACTATTGATGTACACTATTTAACATTTACCTAAGAAAACTAATATACTATGGTTACTTTTTAGACCGTACTTCAAGATGGTTAATGCAAAATGTTATACATTCAAGGTTGATGCATATATGTGAACAGTCAAGCAAGAAGGAATTTGTACTTGGCAGTAAAAATTGTCCAGGAAAACCTTGCAGGTGTGAACGGGCCCTTACAGGTGTTATAAACACAGTAAGGCAAAATGCTCTAAACCTGAAAAGACATATCAGTCTCTGTGGCTTTAATGGACTAGATTGTAAGCATTACTGTAGCTCTAATGTATTACACATCAGTTATTCAAACACATCTGCCACATAAATCCACTGAATATACATGTATTCATAAGTACATTTAATGAATATACGATGGGCACCCGCACACAAGTGCAAAATGTACACCTACAGAGATGACCTATTGCCAGGGCATTTGATAAAGTGCAATGTAAAGTTTGTTTATTATTTGTGTACTGTACCACATAAAACACAAATAGTGCGGAGGGTAAGAATTCCACAATGAAGACGACTGTCCCTGCAGAATGTGGACTCTGTCAACTGAGTCTAAAAAAAAAAAAAATACCCCCAAAAAACTTCAAATAAAAACATGTATACCTTGTCTTCATCGTCACTCTCTCTGGAGTCCGAGCTTTCTACACCATCCAACATTTTCCGTGCCTATGGGACAATTCCACATAAACTTAATACAGCCTGTGAAACAATGCAACTTCAGTCCAAAAAGTTAATTTTGAATAGTGCAGAAAGGGTTAAATCATTTAAATTTTTTTTTCTTGCTACCTGCGTCTCCCTCTTGGTAATTTTTGACCTTACTTCCTGTCCTGGTGATGCCACAACTTTTGATATAAAATTTGTATGAACCTTATAACATCATTTCACAAAGTTAATCTCAAACTCAAAAGAACCTTGTCTGAAAGTGTATAACTAGAAAACAAAATAAAGGGTGTGGACACTGGCCTGGCAGAAGGCAATGGAATACACCTCAGATATCTGCCAAGTACTGACAGCACTATCTTATCTTAGGTATAGGTCTCTGGGTGCTAAACAGTTTATTTACCACAATCAACACCGTCTTTGTCTGGTTTGTAAATGATTACACTAGACACTTGAGTTTTGCTTCAACATATAACATGACTATTTGGACAGATGTTCTAGGAAGTGACCTGGTAGAAATCTTAAGAATAATAATGTCACTGGGGTGAATTAAAATGTTTTATATAATTAAAAAGACTTTCTAGGTCTCAAAATATTTGAAGGACTAAATAGAAGAATACCAATAAACTTCGTATATATTCTCTTATATCATTAAAAGGAGAAAAGGTCTGTTTATTAGAAACTGACACACAAGTAACTATACAGAATTTGTTATCTCAGTCAACCACCTAAAATAATCAGATATTTAGATGTACGCATTCGAATCTAGACAAAAATGTAATATTAGTGACAAGTAATTGATTTCACAACTTATATGAAGGTTGATATTATTTTGTATCTTACTACCATGCTAGTTCTTTTTGATAAGTTTATCACGATTTAACAAACTTACCACCACCAGAGATTCGATAATTAAATAAGGGTCATTTTATTATTAAATTGTTACAAATAATCAGTTAGGAATAGAATATTGAAAGATTCATCAGAGTAAAAAATAATACCTTATACCTCATAATATAGCTAAGATTAATATAAAACAACCTTTTTAATATAGCATATAAATGAGGGCATGATCATTCAGATTATCCTGATACACCAATCACTTTATATATAAATTGATTTATCTTCCTAATCACTTTAGAAAATGTAAAATCAGGATTGGTCGTACCAGAGCACCACCTGCAGAGCAGGTATTATTGATTGTGCATAGACCTATTTCATCTATAGGTAAATATGCCAATCAGATGCTAAAAGCAGCCCACAGGAACTCCCATAGCAGTTCTCAAGATAAAGGGAAAGACCTAGAATAAATAAGGTTTGAAAAACGAAGAATTGATGGAGGGGATGCCGCTTGTCCCATCAACCCTCTATCATCACATCATAAGAATAGGCCAGACTTTTGCAACCATCAGGCCATAAAGCCTATCATCAAATCTCTGCTCAACTTTGAATGGTGGTGGTAATGTATCATTTTGCTAACTAACTAAGGATATATTAATATTGTATTTTTGTTGAGTGTCCATTTCAATTGAAATGAGCTAATTGAGTAACTGTTCCCATTGAAACATAAGGTCAGAACGACGCCAGTCCTTAGCTTCTTCCTACAGGAGAAGATTTGAGCAGGGTTACTTTGGAATATTGACAATTCCATTTCTAGTCCTTCATCCATCTCCTTAATGATTATGCCGGACCAATGTGAATCTCGCCACTGTTTTCCCTATTAATGAATAGATGCAGGTGGTGTAAGCTTAATCTGGGGAAGAGTTGTTATATGATTGTTTAATACGTTTTTCATATTTGCTATTGGAATAATCATAAACGAACGGAGTCTTTGTATCGCATATTGATTAAATTGGTTGATATTTTATGGAAGCATCAAGAAGAACTGTAGTTGACGGTAATATTAAATTCAACCATCACGGAGTCTGTTATTTTCATTTTAAACCTTACCAGGTGCAGAGTACCTCCTACTCCAAAAGAACTTGTTTTTCATGTTTTATTATTGATTATACAGAAGAATGTTATTATGTGTGAAACATTCTTAGATTGTTGTCATTTTAGTGATAACTGGAGGCACTTAATTTGGACACCATGGGTGTCATTTTATGATGAACGGAATTGTGTGAATATTTTGTTACCTTTTTCACTTGGCATATGTATGTGGAAGCAATATTAATATTATTTTAAATCCCTAACATTTATTTTAGGGAAACTGATGCTGAGATATTGATTATTTTAAAACCTACTGACATTATCTGACAGTGACCACCTTTTACCAAATCATGGAAAATTACTAATCTTCAGTGGCGGCTTTCCACCGTCTTCAAGAATGAAGAAAATCCCTTTGATGTATGGATCAAGAATGGACAAATGCTTGCAGATTTTAAGGAAGAAAAAAAAAAAGCCCAAAGTAGACAGCAGCTGTTTTTTTGTTCTTATAAAATGCACTGGTTACCTGGCTCCTGTCCCACGTCCCACACAAAGGGACAAGATGATTAGCAATAGAAGGGGATTTGTTAACAGATGGCAATAACAACAGACAATGGGACTTTATATTACAATTTTTAGTTAAAAATAGTACACCGCATAAGTAACATTATTTAACACATTTTTCTGTCTTAAAAACATAATCAAATCAGTTACCGACCTTTTTGGTGAGAGACTGCAAAACATCAGTGTTCGGCTTATGCTGGCCTCTGCTTTGCACTGAGCTGCTATTGTTGTCCAGGTCTTGCATCAGCCTGAAGAAAGCCAACTCATTGAACAAGACTTCAGATATTTCAACAAGGAGATCTTCTCCACAATCCTTCAACTTTTTGTTGCTAAACTTTTCCAGAGAATCCTAGGAAAGAAAAAAAAAAATAGATAAGATGTGAAATACAAATTGTCATGGATCACAATATATACACACACACACAACAGAAATGTGAACCAACTGTAATGTAAAATCACACAGCCCACAATGTTGAAGAGGTCTGTCAGAGGCAGCACCGGGGTGGGTGTCACCCGGTGTGGCTGCTGTGCACGTGTTACGACGTCCATGGTGTGATCTTGTAGTGGTGTGTCTGTGGTATTGGTGACGGATGCCAGCAAAGAGAGGAGGGGATATTGACCTGGTGGGATCAGGCCGCTGTCAGGCTCTCGGACCATGACAACGTGCCGACTTAAGAAAGAGTGACACCAAAATGACCGCTGATGGACAGCCCACTCCTTATGACAAACAGAACCAAGATGACAGCTTGGGATAGTATGTGCATCAAAAGAGCATCGTGAATTTAAAAGGACAATGCAGGATTCACTAGGCTTGCAAGTAGGTTGGTCATTTATAAAAATTAAGCAGTAAATGGAGAATGAATGAACTGGGAATGATTGGGCATGAGTGAAGTTCCTCTTTAATGTAACCTAATGCAATGCTTTGACTAAAGTTACACTTTTAAAAACACAACGAAACATTGCAGAGGCCTCTCTGAAAAATAGCTAATTCACAGCTTGATATTTCTAAGCAACTCAGGCATGGCCTTCAATAACTGGAACATAACTATCAGTCAAGAAAAAAACACCGGCTCATGTGCCTATTACATTGTGGAGATTTCCATTTTTTGTTTTTTCCATGTAGAAAAAGGAATAGGTTCCTATCACCCACCCAGGGAGGAAAACACAAATCTGGCAACCAATCATGCTTAGCAACATCTAAACCGGTGTAGGGCCTCCCTAAAAATTGAATTTTTTTGTATAGCTTACACACCAGACAACAAATAATCAACAGTGTCATAGACCTAAACTATTGAGGAATATATATAAAAATAAAAAAACCAACCATTAGTCCTTTTATTGGACAATCTTTGTTTGTTACTGTACATGGGAACACAACTTCCAACTGCAATAAAATAGACAAAAAGAAAGGAAATGTGTATATTGAGCACCTGTAGTATGCTGCCCAGCTGCTTGTGGAAGAACTTCACAAACTCTTTGCTTTCATCGTTTTGCTGGGTTAGAGTGAGGACCATTCTCCTGATGGAGGTCAGAAGGTGAGAAGAACAGACCTCCTCCATATGCTCCTGCAGAAGAATAATAAGACAGGGAGATCAACAAGCAACTCTTTGCCCTAAGCAAACTACATCCAATACCCATGGTAAATAAAGGGGGGTTGGGGGTACTGCCCTTACCTGTTGTACTTCCTCTAACAGCAGTCTTCCAAAATAAAAGTCACAGGTGCCTTAAAATATTTCACTAAAATGGAGCTTTGTTTTTGTCTCAATTATGTCAAATCTTATTTTGTTACAAAAACTTGAAGAAAGAAATATTGACTCTAAGGCCAACTAAAGCTTTTTTCTTTTTTTGTAAAGATTGACTGGGACGTGAAACCTTATTTTAGGCTTTTACTGATGTCTCAGAACCCACTGCAGAGATTTCCACTCACTTCCTGTCCTGGTGTCACATGCAGGTTAAAAAATTTTTTTTAAAAACCTCCGCAAAAACCTATAGTAAAGTAAGGGATACTTTCATTGCTAGTTTTGTCTTTCTGTCCCAGTAATTACCATTTCTATCTTTGTTCCGGCAGGTCACAGTTTTCTTGTACCATCATCTGCAATTACAATGTTTGCCTGCAGTGCCAACCTATGGTGGAATCTGATATTTTGGTAAATTCCCATGTTTATCATTATTGATTCTGTCCCACCAACACTGCATATGTTGTAGATATACCAGCAGCTAAAGTTCACTGATGACGCATGTAATATGCCATTTGAGATCATATGAAGTTACCTACAAAACATGTACTGCTGGTGGGACCAGGTCAGGTACAGGTCTATCAAAACACTACCCCAAGCTAATCTTTGTATGGCAATACCACAGCATTCTGCTTCCATTTGCTAGGAGGCTGTGCAAGCTGATGAGTGCTCCATACTACCACTTGGATTATTATTATACAGGATTTATATAGCGCCAACAGTTTTCGCGGCGCTTTACAATATCAAGATTACAATACAATTCAAGACAAGATGGTAATGAGGGTCCTGCCCGTGAAGGCTGACAATCTAAAAGGGAGGGGCAAGTGATACATGAGGAGGTAGCTGTGTGGGGATGAATTGTTTGAGAATGTGATGGTTGAGTGGTTAGTTTGAGGTGGGATAGGTTTCCCTGAAGAGATGTGTCTTGAGGGATCGCCTGAAGGCAGTCAGGAGTGGGAGATAAACGGACAGGTTGGGGTAAAGAGTTCCAGAGGATGGGAGAGACTACACATTTAAAATTTTCATTTTTCCTGGAGAAACTTTCCAGTTTCAAAACTTATTACAGCATATAGCTGTTGGGGTCAATAAAATAGCACTTTACATTCAGAGAAGAGCAGATTAAACCTTACAATATGAATTTCCGAAAATATTAAATCTGAACAGTAAATGGTTTTAAAAACGCACAATACAAACTGAAGAAATAATTCCACACAGTACAATGTATCCTCACAATAATGAACAGAACACATTGATGTGCACACCTTCAAGAACGGGATGACTTCCTTCATAATTGCCTTGATCTGCCGGTCCAGCTGCTGAATATCAATATGTGGACAGGGGACTGCAGACCCTTCATCACTGCATTGTTTACCGTGTTCTCCTTCTTCATCATTGGAGACTTCTTATAATAAAAGCAGAATAAATTACAATGGGTTTGCAGCATACTAAAATACAAAGCACATCATATTTTAAAACCGAAGATTTGTGCAAAGATGGTTTATTATTACCACAATGCAGAAAACTAGTCACTATCTCCTTGCAAGCCATACTTTAAGAAGCCATGGTGCGAATAAATAACTAAATTCAGAATGTTTATCATCAGAATAGATACTGTATATAGGATTATATATGTACCACTGGCTCTGTATATAAACAGCCAGAAGAAAAAAAAAAAAATGAATGGCCCTTTCTGCAATCCTAAAATGAGGGAGGGAAAGAACTTCTCATTTTCTTTGGAAAATGGGCCATACATTTTATCAAATTGAAGTAAAAAGATTAACACAAAAAGCTTTGTACCAAAAATACTATATGCTATAAGAATACTAACATATCCAAAAGCCCTATCAATGTATATTCTGAAAGACAAACAGAAAAAGATTTAGATACAATTTAAGTCACATTACACTTGATCATTTTTCGATGTAAAAGTATTAAGACATTTATAATGTTATGAAAACAATTAAATAGAAAGGACATTAAACAAAATGGAAAATCTAAAAAAAGATCCAAGTTACAGGCAGTTTTCTTGTGTTATCTACAATTAGTTCATGTAAGCGGCTTGTCAGGTACAGTAAGGCATTTTGGGTTTAGTAGTTACCTTCTACATTAGAAGCAGCATTGTTAAGCTTACTGCAGCATTCAGCATCTAAACTCTTTTCAGCCTCAATTTTCATGCGCTCGTACTCCCTCATTCTGGCCAGTGCTTGATCTAAATGAATCACAGTGTTACCTGCAAACAAAGGCATGACATTTGCTTTATACAAAAATTCTTTAAAGGGGTTCACCAGCATTATGCAATATTCTCTGATACAGTATACAAAATCCCAAATTCATTTGCAGGAAAAGTTTGCAAGTGAAATACACGGACAAAGGGACACAAAGACAATGGAGCACTAGCTAACTCGGCAAACCATGGCAGAAAAATAACTGTGTGAGCACTTACATGTAGATCCTGGGACCACAGGATGGACGGCCTGTGTGGAGGATTGGGACACCCGTGGTGTGTGCCCGAATCTGGCTGGTGTACTGCCTGGAGACGTTCGTCCACAGAAGGGAGGGAAGGCTGTGGGCGAGGAGAGGGGACTCAATCCGTGACACCGCTATGTGAATGCGGGATCTGAGCAGTGTAAGGGAGACTCAGCGGTGTCGGGTGCAGGCTGAGCTGCTGCGGCCGCGGCTGTGAATGTCAGTGCTCGGTCTCTGTCGGATCAGACTGGAGCAGTGTGCGGGGAGCCGGTATATGGAATTGTCGACAGACGGTCAGATCTGTGATGAGATGAAGGTTGTTACGGGAAGGAGAGCAACGCGTTTCGAGTTATCACCTCTTTTTCAAGCTTGGATAGAACGATATGGCCGTGGCGGGAATCCGCCGGTTTCAAAGTGACAGGTGGGCGGAGCTAAAAGCAATAAGCGGCAATACAGCGCTTTAAAACTGAGGACAGGGTTGCTGGACAAGGGCATGTATTAAAAGGCTCAGTGTGCGCTGGGGCCATGACAGACTGATTGAGAGGGGGGAGAACAATGGAAAAAGCTCACTTTATTTGATTTAATTGTATAAGAAAAGTCATACATTAAAAAGGGTGCTTTGTTTAAAAGGGTACTTTGGTTAAAAAACATTAAAAATTGTATTAAAAGAAGGAAAAGGAAATAATTAAAAGTGAATAAATGAAAAATGCATTGTAGGACTGTTCTTTTTTTATTCCTTCCTCATCATGGGGCACACTCTTTATTGCCCTTAATCATGGGGGACAAATAAAGCGAGCTCGCCCACAGCCTTCCCTCCCTTCTGTGGACGAACGTCTCCAGGCAGTACACCAGCCAGATTTGGGCACACACCACGGGTGTCTCGATCCTCCACACAGGCCGTCCATCCTGTGGTCCCAGGATCTACATGTAAGTGCTCACACAGTTAATTTTTCTGCCATGGTTTGCCAAGTTAGCTAGTGCTCCATTGTCTTTGCGCCCTTTGTCATTTTACATTCACAGGTTCTCCTCCTGTTCCCCAGGTCTGCATGCTTTTTAGTTAGCCTTCCGTTCTTAGGGCCCCCATCCGAGAGCGCTGTTTATGTCTTTTTGTTTTTGTAAGTGAAATACAAGGCAAATCTATGCTGTCAGCTTGGCCACAACAATTTTGGCTGATCATGGCTGCAGCAGAAATTGGAACAGCAATACACTACACATCCCATCAGACCAACCGTGACCATTACCCAATTTCTGAATGGCAGCAATGATTGCTCACTGGAAATTAATGGGGCCACAATTATATACAGAGGGAAAGCCACAAATTGAAATTAGTTAAAATAGTGCTACAGAAACTGCCACTTCAGACCATTTTTTATGTCTGCACAGGGACATAACAATGGACAACTACCCATTAGGAAAACAGATTATGAAGCTGCTAGCTTGTAGATCTTGGTTGAAAAAAAAAGAAAAAAAAGAAGAAGACAATGGAAGGAAGATTTATCAAAAATGGGACAGAATCTGGAGCAGTTGCCCATAGTGACCAATCAGCTTCTCTCTTCAGTTTGTTCAGTTAGACTTTAAAAATTAAAGACAGAATCTGGTTGGTTGCCACAGACAACTGCTCAATATTCTGTCCACTCCACTTTCGATAAATTCCCATCACTTTTTTTTTTTTAAACCTGGAAAACTCCTTTAAGCCCACAAGTGAACACCATCATAAGATTTGCAGTTACCTGGCAGGAAGAACAAGCATTTGAAAGAGTAATTCGGTAAATGGTGTACACTCACCCAGGTCATCTATTGCAAAAGGCTCAAAATTGGAAGAAGTTGATAAAGTGCTAATGTTATCAGCCTCATTTTGTTCACCCACATTGCGTGCCTCGCAGTCTTTTGCATACATTTCCTAAAACAAAACAAAGGAAAAAAAGTCACACTTCAATAAAATACACAGTGGCATATAATGAAGAATCATTCATGTACATGAAAGTACTATGACCAAACATACATCTTTGCAATTCAAATTCGACCACCTGCCTAGCTGACACTGCAAAATAGATAGGATTTTTTAAATGTATACTGTGAGAATATCTTTTAAGCAATCCTATCACAAATGTATAAAAGAAAAAGCCAGCAGCAAAGGAGCAGCAGGATACCAACAGTCTAACTTAAAAAGCAAAAACTCAAAGGCCTGGAGCGGACTTTACAAACCAAGCAGCCACAACATAACAGAAAGAAAATAACTTCTTGGATAATTTTCCCTAACTTCATGTTGCTTGCTCATATATGGGTCTGACTGGCTCCTGAATTCTGCGTGATGTTTTTTTCCCACCTAGAATAGAGTTCTATTTGATTAAAGTTAACAGATTAAGTAGGGCAAACAATATCGATTTTGGAACATCTATTTTCCTACTTGTTGATGCGGTGGAATGGACTAATTTCGACCTAAGTGATGAAAAAAATTAGAAGGAGCAATGTTTGAAAATAGAAAACTGTGAATGTGGTTTTTGCTTGGAAAACTCCACTCATTCCAAAATCAAATGTTAAGTAAAAGTGAAAATCAAATGAAATTTTTAATGACAATCACCAACTTTCTGATGGCATTAACGAATGTTTCATTTGGATTATTCATATGAATGTGCATGTGAGAATCTACCTATGTATACTCTATTTCACTCTTCAAGTAAAGTCCTGCGTACTATATGTAATCCACACCCCTCGTTATGAGAAAGAAATATGAAGCAGAATGGAGTTTGTGTTTGGGCAATACTGGTCTGCACTTAAATGATACAAATGAGGTAATAACATACATCATCGGTTGTAGCTAGACTTTCACTTGGTGTAAGCTCAGAGTTAGATGCCATCCACCCCACTGAATCCACAGGCTTGGAGCAGTCAAGTTTCTCTGTATTTTCAGTCAGACGCCTGGTGACAATATCCTGGCAGAGTATAAAATATGTATTAAATGGAAATCATGGAGAAACCTAAATGCACGTTGATCTGTTCAGAAAGGTTTTTACCTGTAAAGCAAAAAGTGCCTTTTGTCTCAAATAATCTGTGCTCAGAAGCTGCAGCTCATGGAAGAGCTCAATAAGAAAATGCGGACGGCATTCATTCTGCGAGATGAGAGTAGCTACTTCTGAGTAAATGGTGTCGCGCAATGCTTCGAACATAGAGAAGTCACTTCCAGCCTCTGGAGAAGGATAAAACAGCCAGTTTTACATACCAATAGGAAATAGAACATACGTCTCTGCAGTTTTGAAACAGAAGGGGCCCAAAATGTATCAGATCAACACACACATACAGTAACTGGTCTAGTAAAAGCATGCATCTTTTCTTACAGAATAGTAACCAGTGG